GCTTCTGTTCAGGACACTTTATGGATGTATGTTTTACACAATCTGGGGCTCACAAAGGTCCTGGACGAGGTCCTGGAGGGACCCACGCGTGGCGCGGCGTAGCAGTGCGTAGCAGTACGTATGATGGATGGTCTCTCTCTCCCTCTCTCTCTCTCTCTCTCTCTCTCTCTCTCTCTCTCTCTCTCTCCTCCTCTCCACCCTTCCCTTCCTCCAACTTTCCACCCGTCTCTCCTTATCCTTTTACTGGTATGTCTTTCCCATGAGCCCCCCCCCCCTCCTCCCTTGGGGTCATCAGACTCCTGCCTCCTCCGCCGAGGTGGTCGTATGGTGGTAGTGGTGCTAGTGGTGGCGGTCACTTTTTCCTTTTTTCATGTTTTTATTTTTTCCTCTTTTTTAACTCCCCTCTTCTGTCGCTGCCGGTGTGTTTTCATACCAGTGCGCAAAACTCGTGTTTCCCTCGTTTTGGTCATTAGTGTATAATTATACAAAAATGTGTGGCTGGGCCAGTCGGCCTGCAGTCCCAAGTGACCCCCTCGTTCCCCTCTCTGGCCTGCTCCGGCCAAGCGGGTCAGCTGCTTGCATAAACCTGAGGATTACTGTATATCGCGGCCAGATCTCTCTCAATCTGATGCAGCCCTCGCTGCTGGCGCAGGGGCTGAGGACGAGGGCTCTCTGGACTTGGCCGCGGTGGTCCTCGACGAGGGCCGAGCTGTGCACCGACCTGTACGGTAAATGGAGAAGCAAAGGTCGATGCTGCACTGGGCTGTGTCACCTGTGGACTTTGACGGCGTCGGTCGGTACACTTCATCGCGTCAAACTTTAAAACAACCCATTGCCTATATTCAATAATAATCTCCATTATTGAAACGTATGCTCTGCTCAGTATAATCTGTTTAGGCTGTGCAACCTGGCTATAACAACTTTTACATCTTGTCGTGGAGTATGACCCATTCGTAGTAAGTCAAAAAGGTTTCTAAAAGGACGTGGCGTAAGTTACGCGCGACTACCTTTGGAGCGAAGTACTACAAAGTGTGTTCCAGGAGAGAAACGACTTGAGGGAGGAGGCAGATTGCCAAGCGGGCGCTGGGGCGCGTTGCAGGGGCATAAGGAATGGCGCGTTGGTGTGCGTCCCGCCGGGGAATTCTTTTTGACTCGTCGGCTTATCGCGTACGTACAGTACAGTACCGGGGGCACATGTGGCCCAACGGCAGCCCTGCTAGCGCCCTCACCTGCACACCCGCACCCGTGGCCCATTCAATTTGCCGCTCATAAAATATTCGCCTTGTTTGGGAGCTAGCGCCGCCGCCCCCTCGCAGCTCGCGGCCCGATCCCGGCAGCACCAGCACCCGGCGGCGCCCCCTGCCGCTCTCCAAAGGGCATCACCGTCTCGAACCTTGGAGCCGGCGGCGGTTAGGTGCGGCTCCCGGAGGCGAGAGCGATATCCAATCCACTAATCAATATACGACGCCACGAGAAAAGAGCACGGAGATATAGTTTAGCCAATAGAACTAAACAAAGCACAACAAAACACTAGCTATTATTTAGCGATGTAGGATGTTAGCTAAGTGTCGCAAAAAAGCGAGCTATATCCAACTGAAAATTTATGAATGTCGCCAAAAATTTAGCTGAAAGCTAACCCTAGCTACATTTTCATCAACACGGGTAAACAACTAATTGTTTCTCATTCAGCCATCTGTAGAGATAATCATTTCTTTCCGCAAAGGGCAAAATCGGGGCTCGTCGTTATCATGGCGTCGTTATACACATCACGGTGACGGGTTTGATAGCCCTTTGGACGGCCCGTCTGACTCTTTGGGGACGCGGCGCGTCGTCCATGGGGGCCCCAATAGCGGCGTCTGAATAAACCAGCGCCACGGAAACGCAAACGCAATCGCGTGTGTGGTGCCAGCGCGTGGCCGCGGCCGCCCCGGCGCTTCCAATTTTGACCTTTTTTGAGGTTGGGGGCTGGGGGGAGGGGGACCTTTCTTTCTAGAATTTTTGTTTTTTTGGAGCCCGCCCTTGCCTTTCTCTCGTCGTTATTTTCCATACCCGATCATTTTTCTCGCTTTCGGAGGGGGCTGCGAAATACACAAACTCTCTCTCACACACACACGTTCACCACACACACACACACACACACACACACACACACACACACACACACACACACTCACACACACTCTCACACACACTCTCTCACACACACACACACACACACACACATACACACATACACATGTGGCGGGGTGGCGGTGGCGTATTTCCGCAGCCTTTATGGAGTTGTCGCCCGGCGCGCGACGCCCTCTCGTCCTGTAGCAGCGCCGGGCCCGGTGCCGCCGCTGCGCCCATAGCCCGTCGGCCCAGCGGTGCCGCTGGTGCTGCTCCTGCGCTGGGATCCCGGCTCGGCCCCGGACCTTGTTATGGGGTAATGCTGGATGTGTCACGCACGTCTTTTTGGCCAAAGCCGGGGCGGCTGGCCGACGCTGGCCGTGCAGTACAATGGCCCTGCTGCTGCTACCTCGCCGTGGTTCGTGTTCCGCGAATCTCGTCCTCCTTCCTCCTCCTCCTCCTCCTCCTGGCCTTCTTATCCCCCCTCTCTCTCTCCCCCTCTCCCCACCCCCTTTCTCTCTTACTCTCTCAGAGATGCGTTTGCGACGACGTTGCGCCCCTCTTTTTTATCCCCCGCCGTTCTCTTCTCTCAATCTCCCCCCCTGCCTTCGCCGCGCCCGTAGCAGCTTCGTATCCCCTGGCCCAGAGAGAGAGAGAGAGAGAGAGAGAGAGAGAGAGAGAGAGAGAGAGACCTCTTCACCGCAGTTTATACGCGGCACCTCAATTTTCGCGAGGACGCACCGCGGCGTACCCTGTCGTGTAGATCGTCGTTGCGAGCCACCGCTGCCGCTGATCCTCCTGCTGCTGCTGCTGCTGCTGCTGATGCTGCTGCTGATGCTGCTGCTGCTGCTGCTCCCGCTGCTGCTGCTGCTGCTGCTGATGCTGCTGCTGCTGCTGCTCCCGCTGCTGCTGCTCCGGCTGCTGCTGCTGCTCCTGCTGCTCCTGCTGCTGCTGCTCCTGCTGCTGCTGCTGCCGCCGCCGCTGCTGTCGCGGCCAGCAGGCGCGCCGGCGGGGGCGCTACACAGAGGCTGCGGGGGCTCTGCCCTCCCGCTGCTCATGACTTACGCGTCTTTGCCGTGAAGGCGGGCGTTGTCGTCGTGTCGTCGGCATGTCGGCCTTGGCGGCAGCACTTGTCGGTTGAAAACTTGTTAAAGATATTGCGAGACGCTCGGTTGTTCCGTTTGTTTTTTGTCTGCTGTCGTTTCTGGGCAAGCCTGGGGTGGTACGAGAAACGGTCAGCCATGGGTTACGATGTTTAACGTCTTAAATTTAGCTCGACGATCTCGACGTGACAGTTTCCAATACCGACTGGGGAATTTACTTAGTGAGGATCGAAACGGCTCGACCCAAACAGCACAGCATTTGATAACAAGTAGTAAAGTAGGGGACCTGTCACCGTCCGCCATCTTGGTGGGGACGTGTCCCCCTGACGCCATTTTGATTTTTGAGCATCCCCCTACCCTCGAGGGGTGAAAAAAGGGTGTCTTTTGAGCGTCTAACTTAAACCTAATTTTTTAGAAGGGTGTCTTATGGGCGTCTAACATAAACCTAATTATTTTCGAAGGGTGTCTTATGGGTGTCTAACATAAACCTAATTTTTTAGAAGGGTGTCTTTTGAGCGTCTAACTTAAACCTAATTTTTTAGAAGGGTATCTTATGGGTGTGTAACCCAAACCTAATTTTCGGAAAGGGTATCTTTTGAGCGTCTAACCTAACCTAATTTTTAGAAGGGTGTCTTATGGGTATGTAACCCAAACCTAATTTTTGAGAAGGGTGTCTTATGGGTGCCTAACCCATAAGACACCCTTCTCAAAAATTAGGTTTGGGTTACATACCCATAAGACACCCTTCTAAAAATTAGGTTAGGTTAGACGCTCAAAAGATACCCTTTCCGAAAATTAGGTTTGGGTTACACACCCATAAGATACCCTTCTAAAAAATTAGGTTTAAGTTAGACGCTCAAAAGACACCCTTCTAAAAAATTAGGTTTATGTTAGACACCCATAAGACACCCTTCGAAAATAATTAGGTTTATGTTAGACGCCCATAAGACACCCTTCTAAAAAATTAGGTTTAAGTTAGACGCTCAAAAGACGGACCGCGAGGATGGGGCACCAAGATGGCCGACCGCGAGGATGGGGCACTCATACTACTATAACAGTTTTTAATAATTTACTGCAACAACCAGTTTTTTTAAAGCACACATCTGCTCAAAAGGTTTTTACAAATATTTTTTTCAAACTTTTCATAAGAATTTCAACAAAGTTCGTATCTATTTTTTTTTGAAAAAAAGTTGTCAATTTTTAAAATCTAATTTTGAAAGTTTTTACCAAAGGTTCTTGGAAATGTATTTCTGACCACCCCGTCTCTTTCCTTCCGCAGGACCATGTGGACTGTGGTGGTGGCGCTGTCGCTGGCGCTGGCGTGCGTGCTGCAGCCCGGCGCGCAGGCGGGCAGCTGCCGCGAGTCCAAGCTCTGCTGCCCGGGCCGCGACTCGTCGTGCGTCGTGCAGAAGGCGCCCATCAACGCCATCATCGAGGATCTGAGCGACAAGCCGTGCTACTGCGACCACGCCTGCCTCAAGCTCGGCGACTGCTGCAGCGACTTCAAGGACGCGTGCGGAGGTGAGTCAAAGGGGCCGTACAAAGACACATCCGCGGTGTCTTTTTCCCACGGTCTGCTTTGGTAGATTAAATCGCATGGGAAACCAAATGTTGTCACCTCCAATTTTAGAGGTTAGAGGGCGTTTCTGAAACCTTTTGGGTGCCTCGTGAAAACATTTCGGAAGGCCATACAGTGGGGTTTCGGTATCACTTCATCATATCGAATGAAAAGCCAAATGTTATCACATTTAATTTTAGAGAAGGCCCTTGGAAAAGTTTCCAATTTTCCATGAACACCACAGGTTAATTTTGTATAACCCCCCCTGTATGGAGGCGATGCGGGGCCCCGCCCCACCCAGGGCGCGCGCCAACCACCCCGCCCCACCGCTCTCTGCCTTTCAGATTTCCATATGTTCGGGCGCGGCTGTTATCCTCCCCAACAAATTGTTGACATTAATACTCTTTCACCGGTGCGTCACGCGCGGCCCGGGGCCCGTGTTGCGTGGCGGGAGGGCGAACACATGCCGCTTTAGTAAAGCCTATTATCATAGCAATCTTAGTGTTGTATTGTAGTCATCTTATTGTAATAGGACCCCATCACGCGTAACTTTGGCAGCGACTCTTGTATAAATCGTAAATAAGGGGGAGACAAAGGACGTAAGGAGATGGATTCATACATGGGGTTGGGAGAGCGAGAGAGGGAAAGAGAGGGGGAGAAAGAGAGATAAAGCGCCGTGTGGTCTGGCGACCACTACCACCACCCGCCAAGGACCTCAAGAAGTGACCCATCCCCCACCCAGTTCAGCAGACCGGAGAGAGAGAAGGAGGCAAGGCGAGGGGTTGTCCGACGGAGGGCCTGGGCCTTTCGGCCGGGCCAGACGGGCACTTCTCAATTCACCTCATAAATGGAGTCCGATTGGGCCCGTGATGCTCGGCGCGACTCCGGCCTTCCCTACTTGACCCCCTCCCCCCCTCCTCTCCGCGTCTTCCATACACTGGAATGAATGAAAAAGAGGAGAAAAACAACTTCCAAAAGACATCCAAGAACTTATCGATTTTTTGAGTAAGGCGGGTCTAAGCAGTCAACATTATGGAAGTTTGCATTTATTTTGTACTTTTTACCTGCGCAAATGTTTTGGTGGAAAAGTTGTCACATGGTGCCTCAAATGACTACTTGTCATTCATGAAATCATAAACAGAAAAAAGTTAAAAGAAGGAGCCTTTATTAAAACTTCGTTAAGGATTTGTCGTTTTAAAATTTAAAATGATCACTGCTACTCTTTTTGCTAACTTTTGACGTATCCTTCCGTGGGAATAACCCCTTCCATGAAATTAAAATCGGGTCAGACTTTTGCTATTGGTGCTAAACGCTACCTTACTGCCCGCCTCCTTCTTTGCGCTTAGTAAAGTGCGGTGTTTTAGGGGGGGGGGCAAAGCCATAAAAAGGAATGGTAGCCGCATTTTCTCTGCCACTTGCTCCGTATAGCACTTCTACCCCCGCCCCGCTGTTACCAGCTCACTCAGTTGGGGGGGAGGCCCCTCCCCCTTTCTCTCTTCGGCGGGGCGGTGTTTGCCTGCTGTTTTGAGCGGGTTTGAGGTCCACTATCAGTTTCATTGAGCGGTGCGTGACGTAATCTTGACGTGTGTTGCTCCGACGTCGGCCACTGATGGACCTCTCCAGGCCCTCTTCAAGGCCTCTCCAGGGCCTCTCCTGGGCTTCTCCAGGGCTTCTCCAGGGCTCCAGTTGAGCCCGTAGCCAAGCCTCTGCCGCTGCCGTGCTCCTATATGGGATGGGCCCCTGCTCCCCTTCCTCTATGTCCATCTTTTTACTTTTCCGTCGGAATAATGCAACGACAATCGCTGCATCCGATCGTATCCGGGGATTATAGTGCCGGAATGGTCATCCCAAACAGATACATCCAAATCATTCCTGTTTGTGTGTGTGTGAGCGCGCGCGTGTGTTTTCTCTTTCCGTTTCCCTCTCGGGTCCCCCATCTCCCTGCTACCCGCGCGTTTGGCGTTCGATTTTGTGGCTATAGCAAGAAGTCGAATTCTGCGCGCGCTATTTCGTTAGCGTTCCGCTCCGTCTTTTCAAAACGTTGTCGGCTTTGCTCCCGACAGGTAGCCTGCCAACCCCTTCACTCCGTCCCTTTAGCAACATCTTTGCACCCAGTTTGCACCCGCCTCACTCTCGTAATAAAAAAAGGAAATATACAATTGTATTTTATTACCTGCCGTTTAGGCTTGTCAAACTTGATTTTATTTATTCGATATCAGTTTTTTTATCTGACCATTATTATTGCGTTATTGTTTGACAAAACTCGCAGTATGGAATAATAATATTAAAATGTAATTGAAAATGAAATTCAGCGAAAGATACTGAGCCGGCCGTTAAAAGCGGGATGACGATGATACTTCGTGGAACAAAAGGGGGCGGGGTGAGGGGGGCGAGGGGGGAGGGGTCTTCGGTCTTCTGCTTTTAATGAGCACCGGAGTAACGTTTATACGCGTTTGGCAGTGACAGCGACAATCGACCCTGCGAAAAGAAAGTGAGGACTAAAAGGACTATAACGCGACAGCCCTGATGGGACTGTGGAAGCGATTTAGATATCCACACTTGATATTTCTATTGCACGTTGCACGTGTGATGCATCCAAATATCGAGTACACGATGGATTTCCTTGATGCTGGACACAGAGGGGAGGGACTTGAGGGACCTATCAACCGCGAGTCGTGCGACATCCGCGTGTAGGTCTGTGTGTGTCTGAGGTGCGAGGTGGTGAGGTGGGTGGCCGGCGTGGCTATGGAGGTATCGCCCCTCCCCCCC